TATTTATTTTTTAAGCTGAAAAAGATGATTATTCGATCTGCAAACAATGATGATACTACACAAGAATGGAACCTTAATTAGGGATTACAAGAGATTTTTGTGGCACAACAATCTAAAAAAGGAACTCCGTATAATTATTTTATTAATTTTGTAACAGTTAAAGATTGATTAAGGGACTCTATTGGAGATATTTTTAGACCCAACTAAACCAGATTTTCTTTTCTTCTAAAAATTATGTTAGGCCTAATTTGACCCATGGGAATGAAAACTCCATATAGGCCCAAATATTTAAATTATTATCTTATATATTAAAACAGAAGTCATGACTTGACTTCATGTATGATTTTTTTAAAAATAGATTATTACTAGAAAGTCATGTTACATTAATTCTCTAATAATCTTATCATTATTATATCTTATGAAAAATCATATCTATGATAACAAAGATACACTTAACAATTTGGTTTTGGTAAATTACTTCACACCTTCTAATTTAGTCACGCAAAATATGTCAATAGGTACAAGTTTAGGAATCTTCTATTATTTATAAGAAAATATGTCAATAATAGTTAAATGCATCCACAATATATTAACAAAAATCACAGATTCGTAATATGGAAAATTTTTGTATCCTAACAAAATTTACACGCTATATATAATAGATAAATTTATTTCTATGTAAATTTTTAAAATTATAGTGTTTTAAAAAGAAATTATTTAAAATTTATTTTTAATAAAATTCTTTATAATATTAATTTATGAAGATATAAGTTTAGCTTTTAGCAAAAATTTCTTTGAAGTTTATATTTTCTTTGAAAATTAAAGTATACTAATATTTAATCAAGTTCTATTTCTATTAATTTATCTAAAAATGAAATACCAATCTAACAAACAATAAAATATAGAAGAAAAAACAAACACATGTTTGAAAAACATGTATAATATAAAAAATTTGAAACAATCTATTTGATTAAAACACGTATTATATAATATTATTATGTTTGAAAAATATTTACTATACATATCGTAAATATGTGATTACTATAATATATACCAATTTACAAATGAAAGCAAAATGTTTATGAAACAAACTTTAAACGAAAACAAACACTCGCGCGGTTGCGCGGGTTAAAATCTAGTTTTTTTATTAAGAGACGTGGTCAACGTGTCAGAAACTAGAAACACCTCCATTTGAGTTTTTAATACATATGTTATATATATATATATATATTATATGTATAAGTAATTGTGGGATCCACAATTTTTGTGGAATCCCATAGATAAAAATTCTTAAAAGAGAGTTTTAAGAATTCTTAAGAACCCTGGGATTCTATAATAAATGTGAATCTCATAACTATTTACATATATATATATATTAAGAACTCTAGTGATGAAAAATCCCAATGAAAGTGGTCTAATAATACTGGTCATTGGGGTCACCGTAATCGTCCTTATTATGCCTTTAACCCTAGGAAGTAAGCATGGCGGAATCGAACCATTACGACAAAATATGAAGTTGGATTAAAACCCAATTTTAGTATTTTGGAATATTTTTAGGAAAACTAGGATAATTTTCATGCATTTTAGATATGATATTGTGATTTATGTAGAGTTGATTTGATTTGGGATTAGGTCGGTCCAATCTTAAATTATTTCATATTGTATAGATATTTTTAAAATCAATAATGTGTTTGCTTTATATGCATATTATGAATATTTTGATAATTGACTAGTCCGGTCTAATACAACATTATGTATTGGTACGAGTTGAAAAGTCTTTTTATACGAGTAGTAAATCCTTAAGCCTTGATTCTGAATCTCTCTGTGAATTTTACAAAAGCTTTGTTCATTTCTGTAACAATATAACAAACTCGATGATTTCTAAGAGATGGAGCCTCAACGCTGTAACTCATGCAAAGCGTGTTCCCAACCGCTGATCTCTTTTTAAGTGCAAAGTTTTTTCAACTTAAAATGTGATTTTTCAAAACAATAATTAAATATTTCAAACTAATAATTCAGAATTTAAAGATGATGTTTAGTAGAAAAAAAAAAGAGAGTAACATTTTAAACTATTGAACTTAAAAACAAACACAGTACATGTTCAGTAATTGAACAATTTATTCGTGATACATGAAATTCAAAGTTTAAACTCTTCGACCAAATCGCCTCTGCCTCTGCTGATACCAAGTCAAGGCCTCGAGATACTCAGCCTTGCCAAAATCAGGCCACTGAACAGTAGGAAAGTAGAGCTCACTGTAAGCTGATTGCCATAAGAAAAAATTACTGATCCTTTGTTCTCCACCCGTTCTGATCAATAGGTCAGGGTTTGGGAACTCACTACACTTTGTCATCAATTCGTTTTCCATTAACTTTTCGTCGATGTCCTCCACTTGGATCAACCCGTTTTTTACCTTTTCAGCAAGACTTTTACACGCTTCTAAGATATCATTCTTTCCACTATAGTCTAACGCCAGAATGAGATGCTTCCCTTCGTAGCTCTTTGTAGCTTCTTCTGCTTTTATTATCGCATCTCGAAGCGACGCAGGGATGTTTTCCCGGGTTCCGATAACCGAAACCTTGATTTTTTCTCTAATGAAGAAAGGAAATACTAACATATAATAACTTTTCAGGGAAATGATCAAAATAAAATGTTGGGATAGTACCTTTCGGCTTGAGGTAACATTATCTTTGAAAAAACTCCAAAAAGGTCCATCCAGTAGTTAACTTCATCCTGATGAAAGAAAGGAAAATCACTGAGGGATTGATATATATATCTTGAAATGATCAGTCTTTCATTTTTTTTGTAATCACCTTGGGTCTTCCCCAATTTTCAGAAGAGAAAGCAAAGAGTGAAACAGTGTGTATCCCCACGTTGAAAAAGTCCACAGTCATCTCCACGGCTCTTCTGAATCCAGCTTCTTGACCTCCCGTTATCGCAAGTCCGTTTTTCTTCGCCCAGCGTCTATTTCCATCCATTGTGATTGCCACATGTTTTGGCAGTGTCCCTTGGTTCTCTTTCTCTCCAAGTGTACCACTATAAAATCAGTAAGAACAAATAAGCTTGAAACTTTCATGTAACAATTAAGATCTAGTAGGAAGTTAGAATCACTTGAGCTTATTGCCCTTTTCTTTTGGCATATATATATCTACTGGTATGTGCATGCCTATGTTGTTGTGAGGTCATGGTTTACATTCATATCGGCATTACTGTGGGTAAGTTGTAGAAAGCAATATACACTGTTAGGAATATCAATTCATTTTCAGTTGGTATAGTACTTCATGGACCATGACCTAATGCTAAATTAATTTCACGTTTAATTAGACCCATCACAATTCGTAGATTTTTCTTCTAATATTGTTATCACTTATCAGTCAATGAGACCCAGATATCCATATTGATTATACAGTTAATAAGAGTAAAATGTGTCTATATTGATTATATAGTTAGCAGGCAATATGAAAACGAAAATTTGTTGAAAAATCTAAATACATCAAATAAATAATATGATCATATATAGGCTAATAGTGTTGCTAAATTGGTGGCATCTATGCAAAGAACAAACTACTGTTTTTTTTTCTTCTTTTTTTTTCTTAAGAGCAGATCAAACTAATGTTAGTTTGTAGGTTCTGAGATAAGTAAATTTATATTTGACTGAGAGAAACAATTAACTTACTAAAAAGATCAAGAAATTTCTCGTAAAAACTATATTAAAAAAAAGAGAAGCACACTACCTTATCTCCTTCCTCTCATCTTTTTCATGGTATTGATCAGAATTTGCGCTTTTGATAACTCTGTGGGTATTATTGAAGGAAAGGGGAATAACACTTGGACTTTTAAAGGAAAGGGGAACACTTAAACGCCTAGACTGAAGAGACAAGGGCTGAGAATAAGAGCCAGAAAAGTGAAGAGTACATAGTGTTGACACCATTTTCTTTTGTTTTCAATCTTTATTGGAATTGATGAATCTTACTCATCTATATATACACCTACTTGAAGGGGTCTGGTTTCGAAGACGCACATGATCGATGGAACCGTCCCTCTCTCACCGTCTCTGTCTTTCCTTGATGCTACGCAATGACAGGTCATAAGTATCAAGATTAATAAGATCTTACTTCGCTAGAAAATCGCTAGATGGTTTTGTCACGTGATTTTACTCTTCATGAGTTCAGATTTTGATTTCATAGATTAATCTAAATCTAATACTTACGTTACTGAACTAATGAAGTCCCATAAATTATAAGTAAAAAAAGTCTCATAAATTATTAAAGTTTTGGTATTCCCAATAGACACAAACTAAAGTTAATAGACTAAAATTTAGAAATGTGAAAAAAAAAAAATTGGAGACGTGATATTAACATTAGTGGCAAAGGGGAAAATGGCATGTTTCGACCTTACAAGCAAGGGTGTCAACCGGGGTGGCCCGGTCCAATTGAAATAATATTCTTCAATTAAGTTTTTTTTGTTCTTTTTAAGTTTCAAATACATCTACAATAAATAAATAAAAGCATAGAGCTGTATCACAGTTTTTTGTTTGAATATAATTTCACATTCGTTCAAAAATAAAACCTAATGTCAACTGCAATTTGGCTAAATGGGTTTCCGGATGCGAGCCGAGATGGAGTTGTAAGGCAGGCAGATGATGATAAAAAAGATTTGATCTCAACAAAGCAAATCGTAAATGCCAAACTTGTTGTGAGATTTTTTTTGTCAACAAGGTCTCGCTTGCAGGATACGTAAGAAATATCCATATACGTACTAACGTATACATGTAATAATGTTACATCTAAATTATATGGATATACTAGAATTGTCTCAACTAACATGTTCATTGTTGTTTACGCTTTTGACTTAGATCACCTTCAATTTCACTCTGTTTCATATTTCAAAATGGAGTTTAAAGCCAAATTTGCTCCAAACCTCACTTCACTGTTAAACGTAAAAACAAACAGCACATGTTCAGTAATTAAACAATTCATTCGTGATACATGAAATTCAATGTTTAAACTCTTCGACCGAATCGCCTCTGCCTCTGCTGATACCAAGTCAAGGCCTCGAGATACTCAGCCTTGCCAAATTCAGGCCACCGTACAGTAGGAAAGTAGAGCTCAGTGTAAGCTGATTGCCATAGGAAAAAGTTACTTATCCTTTGTTCTCCACTCGTTCTGATCAATAGGTCAGGGTTTGGGAAGTCACTACACTTTGTCATCAATTCTTTTCCCATCACATCTTCATCAATGTCCTCTACTTGGATCAGCCCGTCTTTTGCCTTTTCAGCAAGACTTTTACACGCTTCTAAGATATCAAATCTTCCGCTATAGTCTAACGCCACAATGAGGTGCTTCCCTTCGTAGCTCTTTGTGGCTTCTTCTGCTTTTATTATCGCATCTCGAAGCGACGCAGGGATGTTTTCCCGGGTTCCGATAACCGAAATCTTGATTTTTTCTCTAATGAAGATAAGAAATATTAACATATAATAAATTTTCAGGGAAAGGATCAAAATAAAATGTTGGGATACCTTTGGGCTTGAGGTATCATCATCCTGAAAAAAAATTCAAAAGTGTCCACCCGGTAGTTAACTTCATCCTGATAAAAGAAAGAAAATCACTGAATCAAAGCGGATACAAAAATATATCTTGAAATTTTATAGAAATGATCATTCTTTAATCTTTTTGGAATCACCTCCTGTCTTCTCCAATTTTCAGGATAGAAAGCAAAGAGTGAAACAGTGTTTATCCCCACACTGAAAAAGTTCACCATCATCTCCAAGGCTCTTCTGCATCCAATTTCTTCACCTTGCATTATGGTGAGTCCATTATTCTTCGCCCAGGGTCTATTTCCATCCATTATGATTGCCACATGTTTTGGCATTGTCCCTTGGTTCTCTTTCTCTCCAAGTGTAGCACTACAAATCAGTAAGAACAGATAAGCTTGAAACTTTCATGTAACAGGATCTAGTATAGAAAGTTAAAATCACATGAGTGTATAATCTACTGGTATGTGCATAACTATGTTGTTGTGAGGTCATGATTAACATTCATATCGGCATTACTGTGGGTAAGTTGTAGAAAGAAACATATACTGTTAGGAATATGAATTGCTTTTCAGTTGGTCTAGTACTTCATGGACCATGACCTAATGCTAAATAAATATCACGTTTAATTAGACCCATCACAATTCGTAGATTGTTCTTCTAATATAGTTATCACTTATTGATATACATGGTTTTTACCCACTTTTAGACCATAGTATAATTCCTATTTAGAGTCTATATTATATTTTTGGAGTAATTTTGGTGTTGTTTTATGTTATACAGGGTCTAAGTACGTTTTCGGATATATTAGAGATTTTGGAACTATTTGAAATGTAAAACTGCGCAGATGTGTCGAAATTTTTGTTATGGATGGAGGCCTTCAAATAGTGCGATTGAGATAATCTTTAAGACAAGATATAGTTTTAAGTTATCTTTATAATGCAACTGGTTTGAGGTAAATTAGGAATCTAGATTGAAAGTTATACTCGTTTTACTGAAGAGTGATATGTCTGATGCACAAACAGGAAGCTGTCGCAAATCAACCAGTGCCGACCGACACCATTGGTGTCGATCAACACTCCTACTAATCAGCTCCCATTGAGTTTTATCAACTTTGAAGATTGCAATTTTGTCCCAAAGTTTCCCTTATTTGCGAAACAATTTACTTACCAAAAAGATTAAGAATTTTTTCGTATAAACTATAGTAAAGGAGAAGCACACTACCTTATCTCCTTCCTCTCATCATTTTCATGGCACTGATCAGAAATTGCGCTTTTGATAACTCTGTGGGTATTATTGAAGGAAAGGGGAACACTTGGACTTTTAAAGGAAAAGGGAACACTTAAACGCTTAGACTGAAGATACAAGGACTGAGAATAAGAGCAAGAAAAGTAAAGACTATAGAGTGTAGACACCATTATCTTTTTTTTTCAATATTTATTGGAATTGATCAATCTTACTCATCTATATATATATACATACTTGAAGGGGTCTGGGTTCAAAGACGCACATGATCGATGGAACCTTCCCTCTCTCACTCCCTCTGTCTTTCCTTGATGCTACGCAATGAAAGGTCTTAAGTACCAAGATGAATAAGATCTTACGTCACTAGAAAGTCGCTAACTGGTTTTGTCACACGTGATTCGTACATTGATCCAATACTTACATTAATTGAACTAATGAAGTCCCGTAAATCTATTATATTAAAAGAGAAGTCACAACTTCTTTTCATGTGTGATATTTTAGAAAATGAACTTTCCTAGAAAGTAATATTTAACTCATATTTTAATAACATTTTACTTAACTTAATTACAATATCTTTTGATATCTTTTCTTTATTTGAAATAAGATAAATATTTTAAAGAGAATTATAACAAAATCTTCTAGAATCTTTTTTAAAAAAATATACTAAATTTTTAAAAATGAATAGATATCAATTCATTGTAATTAGAAAAAGACACAAGTGAACTTTATTCACAAGTAAAGTCGAGTTAAATAAGAATATAATTTTTTTTTATTAGTTTTGTGTTTCACTTAACGTTGGAATATGTCAATTATTTTTATTAGTTTGTGTTAAAAATGAATGACATAAATTTTAATGTTATATGATAGACATATTTAAAGCTATGACTTATAATGGTATAAATTAAAAAAAAAAGTCATGCATAAAATAAGTCATGAAATCAATATTCTTTATTTACAATGTAAAATGCATTTTTGAAAATTAATCAATTTAAACTGTTATTATCATTATATATAATTAAAATGTTTATATAACTGCCTTTTTCTTTATAATCAAAACGAAATTAAAATTTAATTACTAATTACATTTAATGACAATTAATAAATTATATGAACATGATATATTAATATATTTTTGTTTCATAAATATAAGATTTATAATAAAATAATATAATATGTTGTCAAAACGGGTTAACATAGTACACTATATAATATATGTATAAAAATTAACATATCTTAAATTTTTATATATATATATACAACAATATATTATCTAAAATTAGTAAGCATAAATAAATGAACATTTGCTTGACAAAAAAACAGTAAATAGACATTTAAAAATATGAATATAATTAATAATATATACTAATAATGATACATATATATATGAAATTAAACACCCGCTCGGTTGAGCGGGTCAAAATCTAGTTATAAGTTAAAAATCAAAAAAGTATCGTAAATTATTAAAGTTTGGTATCCAAAAAAACATTTATGGCAAAGGGTAAAATAGCATATTTCTACCCCTAAAGTTTCGTGCCTTTCCATACCTAACAAAAATGAGTAAGTGAGATTTCATACATGAGCTGTACAAATTTTTAAACTTCATAACCGAACTCATACTATAACACAAAAACCTACTTTGACTGACCAATTTTTAGTCCTTAGGCCTTGGTATGGATAATATGGGCATAAGCTCCATGATGGAGGAACTTTCTCATGGACTTGATTATGGTAAAAACAACTAATGCTAAATGCTTTGTAACATTGTAAATGGGCGTATGGTTGATGTGGCAGTTATGATTCTATCACCTTAGTGCATACATATGATCATTATGTGGCTTACAGTATATTGGATAACTTTCTTGCAAAAACCGAAGTCAAGAAGAAAGAAAGTATCTGAATCAGATGGTGGTCTTACAGACTTGATGATCAACTAACTTCATCTGAGAGCGAAGATGACATCTCCGTAATAAATAAAAAAATAAAAGCAGAAGTGACAGGAGAAAGCATCAGAGGATGTGGACTGTTGATGAAGTGGTGAAGTTGCTTGGTGGTGTTTCTCACTTTGGTATTGGCAACTGGACCGTTATAAAGAACCTCTCCTTTCCTTCCGCATGACACTGGTGCACGCCCACAGATATTAGAGTATGATCTCACCACCATTTACCTCAAAATGAAACACTCTTCATTAAAGTATTCAGTGTCTCAGTTTCTTATACTTATCACTTATGCAGGACAAATGACATAATCTACTGAAAGCAAGTTAAAGTAGCAAGCATAATGGTGATGAAAAGGTTTGCCTCTTCCTAAACAAAAATCATATTTTGAGAAATCATCTGTTAACACAGAGTTTGAGAACACTCAGGCTGAAAAAAAAACCTAAGGCCAGCAACTTGTGCTATCCTTAAGGATATACTGCATCGTGTAAGAGAACTTGCTTCGCTCCACTCCAAATCATTGTGTGTTCATGGTTCCTCAAGAAGCCGAAGCACTTCAAGGAAGAGGAAGAAAAAGAAGTAGATAATATTGATAATCTTGTCTTCATGGAGAAAGTTCTAGTAGTTTAAAATGACAACGAATAGTTTAACTGTCTTGGAAAGTTTGAGTTCTCTCTAGGATATCATATTTGTCATCATATAAGTTACATTATATTCCCCATCATTTTAACATTTTTCACACAATTTTTTTAAAAAATAATTGAAATACATTTATATGTTCTAATTAATTCTATCTATTTAACCAATAATATTTGAGACAAAATGACATTCTCTATTTAACAGAAAACTTGTCAGGACCTTCTTGTGAAATTAAAAGGAGTATGAAACAGAGACTTACTAAATCAAAAAGACGTTTTGTTCATTTCCTTTTGTATACTATGTCCACAAATGCAGATAAACCAGTATTATTAATGGAATATTTTCCAGTATTATAAAAATGAAATGCATATTAATCGTGTAACTTTTAAAAGGGCATATTGATCATTACATTGTAACAAATTAAAGTTTTATAGTTTTGGTTGATATTTAATTTCAATCATTAAAATAGTTCATTGGGAAGTTTATAACAATAAAAAGTGACTTAGTAAGAGACTTTTATCAACTTTGTCCATTTCCATCAGAATTGACGTTGATAAACTGCTTCTAATTAATAATTTGTATTTTAATATCTGTCCACTTTGATAAATATGGAGACCTCTATCTACAGGAAATTGAGAAAATGTATCATTTCACACTTGTAACAAGAAAAAAAAATGTTCATTTGAGAACTTACAAAGAGTTTTACTCACAAATTGTAAACTAGACAGACAGAGACTTCACAGACAATCATTTTGCTAAAATTATTCAGAATTTTGTAAAAAAAAAACAGAGGACCTTCAAACTCATTAACATATAGGTATGGGAGCTCCGTTCCACTCCTCAAGACACTCCATCAACGGATCAATAATCTTCCCTTCACAAATCGCCGTGAAAACCTTATCAAACTCCTCTCCCGGTGACGTCACTTTCTCTCCGGTCAAAAGCTCTGTTCCAAGCTCTTCCCTCACAAACCTATACAAAGGATACGACCTACACTCCTTGATCCTGTTCGGTATAGCAGCTGTTCCGTTATCATACGCCGCTCTAGCTGCCTCCACTTCTTTAGGAAGCACCGCCTTAAGCTCCTCCTCGAACGCTCCAATCTTATGAAAGATCGAAGTCATTGCATTCTTCTCACTCTCACCGTTGACCAAAGCATGGTCAACGATGACTTGTCTTAATTTCTGTATCAGTGGGTACGTTGCGCTGCATGGATCGTCCGCGTACGTGTAGACTTGTTCACGGTCGACAACTTTGAGTAAATCTTTCTCGCAGAAACGTGATGGGTGAAGCTCACCGTTGACTCCAGTGGTTAGAACTTTCTTGGCCACTTGTGACACTGTGTTCTTGACCGTTTGTTTTAGATTCTCTTCCAAGTGTCTTAGATCGATCGCTTGGCAGATTCCGACAAGGAACGTCGTCGACATGAGTTTAAGTATGTCTACAGCTTCAGCTGTCTTGCGAGATGAGATTAGTCCGAGAGAGTTCACGTCTTGGTTATGCTGCTCCGCTGATTGAACATGGCTAGTCACTGGATTAGCTAAGTACTGAAGCTCGGAGCAGTACGAAGCCATCGCGATCTCTGCTCCTTTGAAACCGTAGTCCAAACTAGGGTACCTCGAAGCAGTTAGGTTCGAAGGAAGACCGTTGTTGTAATAATCATTGACCAACTCAGAGAACTGAGCGAACATAAGCTTCCCTATCGCTGCGATAGCTAAACGCGTGTTGTCCATGGAGACACCTATCGGTGTTCCCTGGAAGTTACCACCGTGAATGGCCTTGTTTCTCGAAACATCGATCAAAGGGTTGTCGTTGACAGAGTTTATCTCACGTTCGATAGACTTAGTCGCGTAACGGATCACTTCTATCTGTGGACCTAACCATTGAGGAGAGGTACGTAACGCGTAACGGTCTTGTTTAGGTTTTTGTAACGGATCCATCTCGTGTTGCTTTTGCGCTAGCTTCATGTACGAGCTTCCATCGAGAATGTGTTCCATTATAGCCGCGGCTTCTATCTGCCCGGGGTGATGTTTCAACCTATGAGTTAAATGATCAGTGAACTCTGGCTTCCCGCTCATCACCTCGGCGAATACAGCTGACAAAACCTCGGCCAAGACGGAGAGAACGTTAGCTTCGAAGAGAACCATCGACGCCATGCCGGAGCCAACGGCTGTGCCGTTGACTAGAGCTAGACCTTCCTTAGGCTGGAGATCGAAGAAGCCTGAGGTGATTCCTGCGTTTTTGAAGGCTTCCTCTGCGTTTAGGGTTTCACCGTTGGGACCGGTGGCTTTGGAGTTGGGACGTCCGGTTAAGAGACCGGCGATGTAGGAGAGAGGGACTAGGTCTCCTGAGGCGGTGATGGTGCCGCGGAGAGGGAGAGAAGGTGTGATGTTGTTGTTGAGGAAACTTGTTATGGCCTCGAGGATCTCGAAACGTATGCCGGAGTAGCCTTGGAGGAGAGTGTTGATGCGTACGAGCATTGCGGCTCTTGTGGCGGTGTGTGGTAATGTGTGGCATGTTTCCTTCGTGCTGCCGAATATTCCGGCGTTCAGAAATCTGCAAACGAATTGTGTGTTAATTAGTTATTAATTAACTTTTTTAAAATTTAATTAAAATTGAAAAAATGCATATAGACAGAGACAGAACCTGTTGTTAATCAAAAAAAAAAAAAAGACAGAACCTAACCCGACCCGC